CCAATATCCAAAGCTTAGGCTTGTTATCTGCAATGTTTTAACCACACGTTTGAAGCTCAGCACTAAAATGATCAAAACACAACCTCTGACATAAGATATTTTTGTTTGGATGTGAGTCTGAGAATTACTGCCTGCTGCAAGTGAAATTGTTCTGAGGGCACTTTGGCTGCAAAGAGTTATTGTGAATAGCTCAAGGTCCAAGTGGAAACAAGTGACAAGAGGTTTCCTTCAGCGGTCCGTACTGAGAGCAATACTATTTCATCTCTTCGTCAGTGACACAGGTAGTGGTGTTGAGTGCACCCTCAGAGAGCTGCTCCAGGACACCAAGCTGAGGGGCAACTGACATGCATAAAGGAGGAATGGTGTTCAGAGGAACCCTGACAAGCTTGAGGAATGATCTCATGTGAAACTCAGGATATTCAACAAGATCAAGGGCAAGGCCCTGCACCTGCACTTGGGCAATACTAATACAGACTGGAAGATGAAAGCTTGAGGACTAAAGGACACTGGAGGTTGATAAACAAGGCAGAAGCCAGCAGTATGTGCTGGCAGCTCAGAAAGCCAAGCACATCCTGGGCTGCATCAAAAGAAGCATGGCCAGCACACTGGGGGAGTGATTCTCTGCTTCTAGTTCTCACTCATTAGAGGAACACTGAGGCCAGTCGGTGTCCCCAGTAGAGACAAGACATAGACCTGTTAGAGTAGGTCCAGAGAAGAGCTACAAAATTTATCAGATGCCTTCAGCTCCTTCAGATGAGGAAAGACTGAGGGAGTTGGGTGTTTTCATCGTGGAGAAGTCCATGTGGAGATGTTATTGCAGCCTTTCAACATATAGAGGGAACTTAGAAGTCCAAAGTAGAGTTCTGACTGTCCTAACAGGACAAGGAGAAACACTTTTAAACTGAAATAGGGGTCGTGAAGGTTAGACATAAGGAAGAAATTTATTATGTTGATGAAGGTGAGACACTGGAAAAGATTGCCTGGAGAAAGATGGGATGCTCCATCACTGAAGTGTTGAACATCAGGTTTGACAGAACTTTGAGTAACATGGTGCAGTGACAGATGTACCTGCCCATAGTATGGAGTTTGATGTCTATGATCTTTAAAGGTCTCTTCCAACCAAAATCATTCTATGGTTCTATAATTATATGACTCTACAATAGGGTCCCTCACTGAAACATTTCTTTCTCTTTGAGAAAGCTGTGGTAAGGACAAGTTTCTCCTGGCCTCGCCTGGGAAACAACTGCTGTGTCTTGTCAGTACCACATTCACTCCACAATACCTACCTGAAAATGTTGAAGTTACTGAAGAACAGGAAATGTGTGCACAGCTGAGTGGATTGAAGGTTCTGACCAATGTGGGGTAATTGTATCCCAGCCCCAAAAGGCAGACTTTTTTAAGAAAGTAGAGGGTCATTTGATGGATGACATACTCACTGCCAGCCTGCTCTGACAGTCACTGCAAAACTATCCTCAACAACACCCTCCCAGGACCAGCCCTGAGCAACATCTCTTCCGTGGACATCTTGGGAGAGCATCTGCAAGGGAAAGGATGAGACAAAAAGCGCAAGCTGGGATGCAGCAGAACTTTAATGAGTCAAAACAGGGAAAAGAAGTTGACCCAAGTGGACACCTCAGTGCAGGCAGCAGCTTTAGCAGGGGAGACAACTCCTGCCGCAGTAGCGGCGGCCCAAGCTGGAGAGGCCCAAGTGACTGTCAGACTCAGGGCAGGAAGTGAGGTAGTGAGTAGCTAGGAAGGTGTGGAGGTTGGTGAACATGGCTGGCCATGATAGGAGGACAGTACAGATTTTGCTGAGCGTGGAGAAGAGAATGCTTTAGTGGGAGACCAAAAGTCATTACTGGAGTAGCAATGTTCACTGAAGAGCATCTGGTCATTCTGCCCAGACTAAGATAGGTCGAGAAGTTTAGAAAGCAGAGGTTCACCCAATGTGTAACAAATATCAGAAGCAAGCCTGTGTTACCTGTCAGAGCACAAGTATCTCCAAAACCCCATCCCAGAACCACACCTGAGACACATGGCATTTGGGGGACTATCTCCAGTGAAAAGGATGAGGCAAAGGCATGGGTTGGGATGCAGAAGAAATTTAATCAGTCAAAATAGAAAAATGGGAACGGAGGCCCCACTACAGACAATAGAAGAGGCCGGTGTGGGCTGTGCTGTGCGACAGACCGGCCAAGCCCCGTCGTTTTTCAAGAGGTGCTGGGGTTGCTCAGCTGCTCTGGAAGCAGCAACCAAAGGCTCCTTCCCCAGTGCGGTGCCATCTTCCAGGTTCCTGAGCCCTTCCCCAGGGCCATCGCCAGCAGCTTTAGCAGGGGAAGGACCTCCTGCCGCAGTAGCGGCCGCCCAAGCTGGAGAGGCCCAAGCCGGAGAGGCCAAAGCCCCCGGAGTTGATGGGCACTCCCTCGGAGCTGAGGATGCTGCCAACGGCAGCGGAGGTGGAGGAGCCCACGGCGGTGTTCTGAGGGAAGGAGCTGAGGATGGGGCCGGGCAGGGTCACAACCACAGGGGAGGGCTGGATGAAGACATTGGAGTCCTGGCACTGCCTGACACAGGGCTCATTGCAGCTGTTGGCCAGCGGGGTCGGGCCGCAGGGCTGGCAGGGCACGCACGGGTTGTAGCAGGACATGTCTGGATGCGAGAGCTTCACCTGGGAAATAGAGCAGGAGCAAGTAGAGCAGGGCCAAGTGTCAGGAGCAGCCTTTCACCACACCAGGAAGAATGAAAGGCATGCTCGGTAGACAAGAGCTGGAGACTGTACAAGGAGGCATTTAAGCTTCTCCTTTCCCTCAGAAGATCCCTGCCAAGATAGACCAAGAACAACCCCAGAGCTCAGAAGTCTCCTCAGCCAAGATCCAGCCATGGAAAATCTTCCTCCCTATTCCCCATGACAAGAAAAGCCAAGGCGCTCATGGGTCAAAGGGGCAGTAAAGTGCTGAGAAATCTCAAAGGAGGAGGAGAAGCAGAAAGGGGTAGAGAAAGGGCTTCATACTCACCTTGTCTTCAGGGAGGTGGAGGCGAGAGCAGTGGATGAGGGAGTGAGGAGAAGTTCCTGCTTTTATACAGCTCCTGCACAGCCCCAGGCCCACAGTCACTGCACAAAGGCACTAATTTTCCAACAAACTCACCTCCAAAGCAAAACACCCACCTGATGGCACAGGTTGGGGTTTGGTTTCCATCAATGCTGCCATTTCATTTCCTCATTCCTGATGTGATGAACTTGCCATGCAGCTCCTTTCATGTCCCGGGATGAGGAGCCCAAGGCTATCCCAGGGAGAATCACACCAGGGAGCAGAAGAGAAGCCCCAGGTATTTGAATAGTCCCAAACAGGCACATGCGATGTTGGCTTGGGGCAGTGAAGCATGGCTGCTGGCAACTTCCTTTGCAGGAAGAAGCTCAGCTCTTCCCCACACTGCACATGTCAGCAGAATACCCAAAGGCTTCTCTTCCTGAGGATGCGCTCCACAACATAACATGGAGGGAAAGAAAGGGTTGCAGAAAACATCTCCCCTTTGTTTGGGACTCATCCCTCAATCTGGGGCGATACGTCTGCTCCGGCCATTAGGGCTCTGTCCTTCCTCCTATCCCACGCCCCAAAGGCCTCCTCAGGGTGGAACACAACCCAGCACCACTGGGGAGGCAAGAAAATCTCTTCCAACTGCCCAAGCAATGAGGGCTGCAGAATCCCCCAGTGCCACATGCCTGGGGATGCTCAAGGAGGAGGAGTGCTCAGAACACCTCTGAGTATGAAACCAGCTCTCAAAGCACATCAAGGAGCGATGCGCTTCCCTGCCCTGCAGCCCTGGAGGCAGCTGGGACGCATTCCAGGAGGGCAGGAGAATGCCTTCCATCGGCAAGGTTCCTGGGATAGACTCTTCCTACCCGTAGTGAGTCACACTCTAATTCTGGCCTGGCGTGTGTCAGCCTTTGGTGTGAGGACAAGCCAGGAGTGCAGCCCATGTCCACACAGGGCTCAATTCCCCTGCGGCCAGGGCAGTTCCATCCCTGCCCTGTGAAAATGAGCTCTGAGCACAGGGCATCACCCAAGTCCAGGGCTCCAGGATGACCTCATGGCCATCGCCCTCAGCAGGACTTTCCTGCTACAGCTCCCATAGCTCAGGGGCTGCAGGAGCTTTGGAAACTTGGCCAGAACCCTGTGTCTCTGGCTGGCCAGGGTGCAAAGCCCCAGCCAATTTGCAGGGAGGAGTGTGCGAAAAGCAAGACCTTGTCCTGAGCCCCAACACACCTCACAGGTAATGAGGAAGAACCCAAATCCATGGGGATCCCCTTGGGAATTGTCTTCTGCCCGTAGTGATGTGTTCCTGCACAGGAAATTCTTAGGCTTCTCATCCTGGTACTTGAAAGGATCTTCCATAAGCTGGTGGGTGTGTCGCAAATGAGGACATGTATTGTTGATGGAAACCAAACCTCAACAGGTGCCATTAGGTGGGCGTTTTTCTTTGGAGGTGAATCTGCTGGAAAATTACTGCCCGTGTGCAGTGACTGTGGGCCTGGGGCGGCACAGGAGCAGTATAAAAGGGGAAATTCTCCACGCTCTCTCATCCACTGCTCTCGCTTCCATCTCCTTGAGGACAAGGTGAGTGTGAAGCTCTTTCTCATCCTTCTCCTCCACTGACATTTCTGAGGACATACCTGCCTCTTTGTCTTGTGCTGGGTCTTGGAAGTTCTTCCTACAGTGAAGGGAAGAGGGCGGAAAGTGTGACATGGACCTGGACTTGTCTATGACATGGACAGGGCTTGGGGCTTGCATTTGGTGTCCCCAGGGCTACAGAGTTCGTGTGGACCTTCCTGGGCTTAGTCAATATAGGCAGGGGTCTTCTCAGAGAAAGGAAAAGTCCAAGCGCCTCTCTGCACAGCCTCCAGCTCTTGTCTATGGAGCATGCCTTTCATCCTTGGTCGTGGAGTGAGAGTCTGCTCCTAACCCATGTCCCTGCTCTGCTTGCCCCTGCCCTGTCTCCAGGTGAAGCTCTCGCATCCAGACATGTCCTGCTACAGCCCGTGCGTGCCCTGCCAGCCCTGCGGCCCGACCCCGCTGGCCAACAGCTGCAATGAGCCCTGTGTCAGGCAGTGCCAGGACTCCAATGTCTTCATCCAGCCCTCCCCCGTGGTGGTGACCCTGCCCGGCCCCATCCTCAGCTCCTTCCCGCAGAACACCGCCGTGGGCTCCTCCACCTCCGCTGCCGTTGGCAGCATCCTCAGCTCCGAGGGAGTGCCCATCAACTCCGGGGGCTTTGGCCTCTCCAGCTTGGGCCTCTCCGGCTTGGGCGGCCGCTACGGTGGCAGTAGGTGCCTCCCCTGCTAAAGCTGCTGGCGACGGCCCTGGGGAAGGGCCCAGGGACACAGAAGATGGCACTCCACTGGCGGTCACAGACTCCTTTCTGACCGTGATGCTCCGTGCTCTGTGACCTCTACTCTGATTGACCTCGCTCCCCTATTTTGCCTCATTAAATCTCTGTAGCAGCCCAGTCCATGCCTTTGTCTTGTCCTTTCCCCTGCAGATGCTCTCCCAAGATGCCCAGGGAGAGAGATGTTGCACAAAGGGTTCTGGGACTGGGTGTTGGATATTATTGCGCAGTTATTGTCAACATGGGTTTGCACTGAGTTTTCTCAGTCATGAATTCTGTGACTCTCTTGTTTCTGAACTTCTCTGCCAATGTGGTGTATAGCAGGACTGAATGACTGAATGACCCAGTCACTACCATCAGCTGGGTGCATACACCTCTTCCTTTTCCTTGGGAAGCTCAGCGTTGTGAAGAAGGCAGTCAGGAGAAGAAAGGATGAACGTTTATTGACAGGGCAGCATCAACACCTTCCCCAGAAAGCACAGGAGAACTTGCCCTTTCGCAGCATTGAGATTTTGAGTTGCAGGGCGGGAGAACACCAGCCAGAAAATCAAACCGTAACAACAGTAAAGGAACATACTGCCACAGCGTCCGTGGGAAACCACTGTCTCTACAGCTGGGCTCCACAGGTCTTGTGGGCTCTGATCCGGTGCAGAGATGTTGTGGCAATCTGCTTTTTCTTTACGCAGAGGATTCAGGAGAGTTCCTGCACACTGCCTGTCTCCTTGGCCAAGCAGCTGAGTCCTTCCTCCTCATTGCCAGCCCTATCCCTGCCAGAGGGCAGAGGCACAAAGGCCATCCTGGCATGATGGGATCACAGCGTACTCAAGTTAGAAAGTACCTCCAGAGGTCATAGGGCCCAACCCCTTGCTCCAAGATCAATCAGACATGAGCATCCAAGCCCTGTTACTGCACTACCTCCCCAGGCAACCTTTTCCACTCCTTGACTCTCTTCCTGGTGAAAACCAGTTGCTGCCGATCGAGTCCAAACCTCTCATCTCTCACAGTGAGCCCGATGTCTCCAGTTCTCCAACCACACTCTGCCACAGTGAGCATGATTGAGCCTGGATCTGTGCTCTGGGGGACCTCACCATGGCTACACCTAAGCTGCTCTTAGGTCTCCCACCAAAGCCTTCTCCTCACAATCTGCAAAGCCCACGCCCTCAGCCACTCCTCCTAAACACGTGCTCCAGGTCCTTACCAACTTGGACACCCTCTGCTGAACTCATGCCATTTGGTCAAGGTCTTTCTCCCATTAGATCTTTCTTGTGTTAGAGCAGTGTTTTAGAGCCCAGCTGGTGAGTGCTGAGCAGAGTGGGATGAGTCCTATTGGTATTGGCCATGATGCCGATGACAGTCCTTTTTGTGCAGAAACAGTTTTGATGGTGCTACCAGAAAAACTGGCCCTGCCTTAGGCTGCTGCTTGTCAGGGTGGAAGCATGTGCGGACAGCTAGGGCTGGTTGCGGCCATGCAGGGATCTGGGTGGACATGTGGGATCTTACCCAGTTCTCTCCTGCAGCAGTTCAGCTGCTCCCCTTTCTCAGTCAAAAGCCTCTGCAGCCTTTGCCTCTGGTCACCGCACTGCTGGTGAGAGCTCCTGGACAGACCCTTGAGACACTAGGCCTGCACACGCTGCCTCTTCCTCACATGCTCCCGCTCTCCAGAAACATCCCCAGGAAACGCTGGGCACAGGCAGGGAAGGAGCAGGGCAAGGAGGATGTTCTCTGCCTGTGGGCCGGAGTGACAGTCTATGAGCGGAAGGGGAAAAAAAGAGAAAACTCAAGTGGTGCAAAGGCAACACCGGGCACCTCACACGAGCACAGGATGCGCAGCCATGCTCCAAAGAACGGACACTTTGGAAAGACTGCCCTGAGTCTTTCCATTCACAACAATTGTATTAACAACCACTACACACTCATCCCAAAAACCCCATCCCAGAATCACACAGAGAAACAACTCTATCCTTGGGCACCTTGGGAGAGCATCTGCAGGGGAAATGATGAGAGAGAGGCATGGGTTGGGATGCAGCAGAACTTTAATGAGTCAAAACAGGGAAACAAGGACACAGTGAGTGGAGCTCCTGGTGCAGGGAGTCCAAAGGCAGAAAGCAGTCGGCATCCCCAGTGCGATGCCAACTTCTGGGTCCCTGGGCCCTTCCCCAGGGCCGTCGCCAGCAGCTTTAGCAGGGGAGGCACCTCCTGCCGCAGTAGCGGCCGCCCAAGCCGGAGAGGCCCAAGCCGGAGAGGCCAAAGCCCCCGGAGTTGATGGGCACTCCCTCGGAGCTGAGGATGCTGCCAACGGCAGCGGAGGTGGAGGAGCCCACGACGGTGTTCTGTGGGAAGGAGCTGAGGATGGGGCCGGGCAGGGTCACCACCACTGGCGAGGGCTGGATGACGACATTGGAGTCCTGGCACTGCCTGACACAGGGCTCATTGCAGCTGTTGGCCAGCGGGGTCGGGCCGCAGGGCTGGCAGGGCACACACGGGTTGTAGCAGGACATGTCTGGATGGCAGAGCTTCACCTGGAGATAGGGCAGGGGCAGGCAGAGCAGTGACATGGGTTAGAAGCAGCCTGAAGCCCACCACAAAGCAGCCAAGCAATAAGATGGAGTCATGAGCTTGTGGCTGCGTAAGGAGTCCCACTGCCTTCCGCTTCCCTTCAGTGCAAAAGAGCCCTGCCAAGAGCAACCAAAGCCAGAAGGTCACCACCCAGACCATTGCTCAGCCAAGACCCAGCCTAACTCCATGCCAAAACTACTACCATTTTTCCTGTCCTGTGACAAGCTGCTTCAACTCCAGTGTAGGATGAAGGAGCAGGTTTATGCTGAGAAATCTCAAAGGAGGATGAGGAGAAACAGGAAGACAATAAGAATGAGAAAGAGTTTCATACTCACCTTGTTCTCAAGGAGATGGTGGCGAGAGCAGTGGATGAGAGAGTGAGGAGAAGTTCCCCCTTTTATACTGCTCCTGCACCGCCCCTGGCCCACAGTCACTGCACACGGGCAGTAATTTTCCAGCAGACTCACCTCCAAAGCAAAACACTCACCTAATGGCACAGGACGGGGGTTGTTTTCCATCTGATTTCCTCATTTCTGATGCGTTTCTCTGCCACGCCTGTGCTACTGATGTGCCTGCAGATGGTCTTGCTTGGGACCCCAGATATTGTCACAAGAGGGGAAAGCGGCCAAACAAGTGGACACAGGCAGGAGAAGACTGCATTGGCGGCACAGCACGTTCCTCTCCAGAGGGTTGAAAACAGCCTCATCAGATCTCTCCAGACCTATGCCGCTTACCTCCACACACACCTCCACCACTTGGAGTATATCTTCTGCTACTATTGATGTGCTCCTGACAGGAAATATTTGGGCCTCTCATCTTGATACTTGAAAGGATCTTCTGTGACATAATGGTCATTTCAGAAATGAGGAATTGAAATGGCTGCGTTGATGGAAACCAAACCCCAACCTGTGCCATTAGGCGTATGTTTTGCTTTGGAGGCGAGTCTGCTGGAAAATTAGTGCCTGTGTGCAGTGACTGTGGGCCTGGGGCGGTGCAGGAGCAGTATAAAAGCAGGAACTTCTCCTCACTCTCTCATCCACTGCCCTTGCCTTCATCTCCTTGAAAACAAGGTGAGTCTGAAGCCTTTTCTTTTCTTCTGCCTCCTTTTCCTCTTCAGCTTTTCTCAGCATACGCTTGCCTTTTGTCCTATGCTGGGTCAAGGGGCTGCTACTAATGAGAGAGGGAAGGGAGCAGAAGGTGTATCATGCAGATGGGCTGGGGCTGGCTGAAGTGAGCGATGGCTACACTGGGAGCTCCCTGTACTTCACTGTTCTTGATGGAGCATGTTTTGTCTGAGGGGAAGCTGAATTCCGTGGATGTCCCTACAACATCTCCAGCTCTTGTTTCAACCTTGGCTTGTCTTGGGGTGAGAGTCTGCTTCTAACCCATGTCCCTGCTCTGCTTGCCCCTGCCCTGTCTACAGGTGAAGCTCTGCCATCCAGACATGTCCTGCTACAGCCCGTGTGTGCCCTGCCAGCCCTGCGGCCCAACCCCGCTGGCCAACAGCTGCAATGAGCCCTGTGTCAGGCAGTGCCAGGACTCCAATGTCGTCATCCAGCCCTCCCCCGTGGTGGTGACCCTGCCCGGCCCCATCCTCAGCTCCTTCCCACAGAACACCGCCGTGGGCTCTTCCACCTCCGCTGCCGTTGGCAGCATCCTCAGCTCCGAGGGAGTGCCCATCAACTCCGGGGGCTTTGGCATCTCCGGCTTGGGCCTCTCCGGCTTGAGTGGCCGCTACTGTGGCAGGAGGTCCTTCCCCTGCTAAAGCTGCTGGCGATGGCCCTGGGGAAGGGCCCAGGGACACAGAAGATGGCACCTGCCAACTTGGTGCTCCCTGCACCAAGATCTCCACTCACTGTGTCCTTGTTTCCCTGTTTTGACTCATTAAAGTTCTGCTGCATCCCAACCCATGCCTCTCTCTCATCCTTTTTCATACAGATGCTCTCCCAAAATGCTCAGGGAGAGAACTGATGCTCAGGGGTGGTTTTGGGAGGGGATAATTCTGTAGTGATTTGTAATAGCATTGTGCAGGATTTACCTGGATGGAGTTGGCCCCCTATTAGCCCTCCCACTGATTCTTTGTAGCTGTACCTGGAATGGTGCTGGTAACACATAAATGTTTTGGGTTTTGCTGGGCAGAGCTTGCACAGCACCAATGCTGTCTCTCTGACTGCGTCTCCAAAATGATTGTAGGCGGGGGTGGGCAAGAGGTTGGGAGGGGACAAAGGAAGGACTGATGTGCCAGACTGATCAAAGGCATTTTCCATACCATATGACATCATGGTGAGCAATAAATGGTAAGAGGAAGGAGGAGGTTTGGGCATTGGGTCATTCACAGAATGGTTGAGGCTGGAAAGAACCACCAGAGGTCATCTGGTCCAATCTCCTTCTCTCTAACCAAGCCTCCTAAACCAAGGGAAAGACTTCCTTTGTCCAGACCTTCTCTCTGGTCTTCTGGCTCAGGGATTCCTGCGGGTTCGCTTTGACGTTGAAGACTGAAGAAAAGGCAGCATTCAGTATCTCTGCCTTCTTTGTGTCTTCTGTCATCAGGGTCCCTGCTCCAGTCTGGAGTGTTCCCACATTTTCCTCTTATTATTGATCTGTTTGAAGAAGCCCTTCCTGTTGTTCTTAATATCCCCTGCTAGATAGAATCCCAAATGGGCCTTGGTTTTCCCCATCGCATTTCTGGGTACTCTGACAACATCCAAAGTGGCCTGTCCCTGCTTCCTCCTCCTCTGTATCTCCTGCTTGGGCTTCACGTCCTTATTAAGGTTTTTGTCTTCTGAATCAATCAGTAATTGCCCTGGCACTGATGCTCCAACTGTGCTATTGAGCTGTCTAGTGGAGAATATGAGGGAATACAGCTCCCTCTCCCCATCTAAAACTGATGTGGCTCATTCTGTTGTGCAGGTTCCCAAGGTCCTTGTTCACTCTTCTGTGAGGTTTTTACAAATACTAATGAACTCTTGGCTTAATGTAGGTTTGTGGAAACTGCTGTCATGCTGGCTTAAGAGGTGACAACTTCTGGGTGCGGTGACAGAGAAATGTGCCTTGAGGGGACCAGTCCCTGGGTGGCTGTTGCTTGAAAATCAGCTGCTTTTAGCACTGTATTGGCCTTGCTTGTACTTGACCTCTGTTTAATGAGCCACAACATCAGAGGGCCATGATTAAAACAGGGACCTGAATGACCACTGAAGATGTCAAGATTGAGCAGGGACCCAAACTATATAGAATTATAGAATAGTTAGGGATGGAAAGGACCTTAAGATTATTCAGTTCCAAACCCCCATGCCATGGGCAGGGACACCTCACGCTAAACCATACCACCCAAGGCTTTGTCCAACCTGGCCTTGAATACTGCCACGGATGGAGCATTCACAACCTCCCTGGGCAACCCATTCCAGTGCCTCACCACCCTAACAGGAAAGGATTTCTTCCTTATATCCAATCTAAACTTCCCCTGTTTCAGTTTTAACTTGTTAACCCTTGTCCTACAGTCCCTAAGGAAGAGTCCCTCCCCAGCATCCCTATAGGCCCCCTTCAGATACTGGAAGCTGCTCTGAGGTCTCCACGCAGCCTTCTCTTCTCCAGGCTGAACAGCCCCAACTTCCTCAGCCTGTCTTCATACAGGAGCTGCTCCAGCCCCTGATCATCCTCGTGGCCTCCTCTGGACTTGTTCCAACAGTTCCATGCCCTTTTTATGCTGAGGACACCAGAACTGCACACAATGCTCCAGGTGAGGCCTCACGAGAGCAGAGCAGAGGGGCAGGATCACCTCCTTCGCCCTGCTGGTCACGCTTCTTTTGATGCAGCCCACGATATGTTTGCTTTCTGGACTGCAAGCACACACTGAAGCCGGCTCATGTTCATTTTCTCATCAACCAACACCCCCAAGTCCTCCTCCGCAGGGCTGCTCTGAATCTCTTCTCGGCCCAACCTGTAGCTGTGCCTGGGATTGCTCCCACCCAGGTGTAGGACCTTGCACTTGGCATGGTTAAACCTCATGAGGTTGGCATCAGCCCACCTCACAAGCATGTTGAGGTCCCTCTGGATGGCATTCCTTCCCTCCAGGGTATCAACTGAACTGCACAGCTTGGTGTTATCGGCAAACTTCCTGAGGGCGCGCTCAATCCCACTGTCCATGTCACCAACAAAGATGTTGAACAAGACTGGTCCCAACCCCTATCCCTGAGGGACACCACTTGTTACTGGTCTCCAGACAGAGATATGGTAGCTGAGGCATAGACCCAAACCACAGGTGAGGACAGCATGGCTGGGACAGGAACCCAAACACTATCTGCAGTGATTGTTCTGGTAATGAAAAAGAAATAGTGGACAATGAAGTGAATGGGTCCTTCTCATTGATTAGTAAAGAAGTGAGGAGGGAAGTGTGCGATGAGAAAGGCAGCCCTTCAGCAAAGGAGTGGCAGGATGAAGTGAGACAAGTAACTGAAGTGACAGAAAGTACAGAGTTGAATCATAGAAAGGCTTGGGGAAGAAGCTCACCCAGTTCCAACACCCTGCCACGGACAGGGACACCTTCCACTAGACCAGGTTGCTCCAAGCCCCATCCAAGCTGGATTTGGTTGCACCCAGTCCTTGACCTCAAGAGAGCTTCAATACAGGGAAACATTACAGCCACCAGCCTGGTGAGCAGGTTACTGCATGGCAACTCTGATGTCTGGGGAGTGGGGCCAACAGTCAGGAACTGGTAGGTAAGGAAGCCAAACAGCTGGGATCCCTCAACAGCTGATCACCCAGGAAGTGACAGTGGACTTGGAAAAGAAGCTGTGAATTGCAGTGCCTGGAGGTGTGTGCTTGACAAGTATGAGGGCAAGATATCTGTTCAAGATCTTGTGATCGAGCAAGGAAGGTGAACCAAGGCTTAGAGAGGTATAAAGTACCTGAGAGGATTAGTTGTGATGGAAGTCATCTGTGGACACAGGGTTCTCCAGGAGAATGCATATTTGGTACATGAACTCTGAATAATCCTGAAAGATACAGCAAGGCCATGAGAGGCCCCAGGAAGCTTAAGCAAGCAAGATAAAAAGAAGCTGGAATTCACTGAGTTATGAGAACTGGGGACTCTTGGCAAGCTTTCGAGGTCAAGTTCTCACACCTGTGCTTAACCAATTGCATGTTAGTCGCTAAGGGTCTTCAAGACATGTATCCAATCATAATATGCCAAATCCCTGTAAATGCATGTAAGGGATAGTATATAAGGAGCTAAGGCTTTGCAATATCTGATCACACTGATCCCTGACTGAGTTATTTTTTCTGCGGCAGTCATCTGATGACAAGGAGGTCTCCTAAGGACCGGAGAATGCCCTGTGTACAAGCGCCATCTGAAAAGGTGGTCCAGAATGAATTACTGCTGTATTCTAACAGCTTGGCAGCAATGTACTGCCTGGATTTGGATACACCTGTGGTGAAGAGAGCATCTTCCTGTCTGAAATTCTGAAGACAATGCCTCTCCCTCCTCTCAGTGTAGTTGCAGTTTGGTTACCCCATCACCAAAACAAAGGAAGTGATTGAGAAAGGCCAAAGAATTCTGATTCTTCTGCAAGGTGTATTTGCCATGAAATCAAGCAAGGTCAAAATTGCACAGGAAATGCTTTTCTTGGGATCTTGGCATCTGCATAAAAAAGGATGACACAAAGTCACAGGCTGGGATGCAGCAGAACTTTAATGAGTCAAAACAGGGAAACAAGGACACTGTGAGTGGAGCTCCTGGTGCAGGGAGCACCGAAGGCAGAAAGCAGTCGGCATCCCCAGTGCGGTGCCATCTTCTGGGTCCCTGGGCCCTTCCCCAGGGCCGTCACCAGCAGCTTTAGCAGGGGAAGGACCTCCTGCCGCAGTAGCGGCCGCCCAAGCCGGAGAGGCCCAAGCTGGAGATGCCAAAGCCCCCGGAGTTGATGGGCACTCCCTCGGAGCTGAGGATGCTGCCAACGGCAGCAGAGGTGGAGGAGCCCACGGCGGTGTTCTGTGGGAAGGAGCTGAGGATGGGGCCGGGCAGGGTCACCACCACTGGCGAGGGCTGGATGAAGACATTGGAGTCCTGGCACTGCCTGACACAGGGCTCATTGCAGCTGTTGGCCAGCGGGGTCGGGCCGCAGGGCTGGCAGGGCACGCACGGGTTGTAGCAGGACATGTCTGGATGAGAGAGCTTCACCTGGAGACAGGACAGGGGAAAGCAGAGCAGGGACATGGGTCAGGAGCAGACTCTTACTTTACCATGACAGAGACAAGGCAGGTACAAGAGCTGGAGGTGTTGTATAGAGATCCATGGACTTCTTCCCGTCAGCCCAAAAGACCCTGACAAGAGCAACCAAGCCCAGAGAGTCCTTCCAAGCCCATAGGCCAGGAAACCATAACCAAGCCCCAGCCTATCTGCATGACACACTTGCTGCCCCATTCACTTTCCCTGTCCAGAAGTTCCAAGACCAATTGGGGCTCATAGGAGCAGGAATGAGCTGAGGTACCCTGGAGGAATGCAAGAAGGAGAAGGAGAAATGGTTTCATACTCACCTTGTTCTCAAGGAGATGGAAGCGAGAGCAGTGGATGAGAGAGTGAGGAGAAGTTCCTGCTTTTATACAGCTCCTGCACAGCCCCAGGCCCACAGTCACTGCACAAAGGCACTAATTTTCCAGCAGATTCACCTCCAAAGCAAAACACCCATCTGATGGCACAGATTGGGGTTTGGTTTCCATCAATGCTGCCATTTCATTTCCTCATTCCTGATGTGCTTAACCTGCCATGCAGCTCCTTTCATGTCACAGGATGAGAAGCCCAAGGCTGTCCCAGGTAGAATCATGCCAGTGGGGCAGAAGAGGAGGCCCAAGTATTCAAGGAGCCCCATACAGGCACTTGGAATGTTGGCTTGGGGCAGTGAAGCATGGCTGCTGGCAACTTCCTTTGCAGGAAGAAGCTCAGCTCTTCCCCACACTGCACATGTCAGCAGAATACCCAAAGGCTTCTCTTCCTGAGGATGAGCTCCACAACATAACATGGAGGGAAAGAAAGGGTTGCAGAAAACATCTCCCCTTTGTTTGGGACTCATCCCTCAATCTGGGGCGATACGTCTGCTCCGGCCATTAGGGCTCTGTCCTTCCTCCTATCCCACGCCCCAAAGGCCTCCTCAGGGTGGAACACAACCCAGCACCACTGGGGAGGCAAGAAAATCTCTTCCAACTGCCCAAGCAATGAGGGCTGCAGAATCCCCCAGTGCCACATGCCTGGGGATGCTCAAGGAGGAGGAGTGCTCAGAACACCTCTGAGTATGAAACCAGCTCTCAAAGCACATCAAGGAGCGATGCGCTTCCCTGCCCTGCAGCCCTGGAGGCAGCTGGGACGCATTCCAGGAGGGCAGGAGAATGCCTTCCATCGGCAAGGTTCCTGGGATAGACTCTTCCTACCCGTAGTGAGTCACACTCTAATTCTGGCCTGGCGTGTGTCAGCCTTTGGTGTGAGGACAAGCCAGGAGTGCAGCCCATGTCCACACAGGGCTCAATTCCCCTGCGGCCAGGGCAGTTCCATCCCTGCCCTGTGAAAATGAGCTCTGAGCACAGGGCATCACCCAAGTCCAGGGCTCCAGGATGACCTCATGGCCATCGCCCTCAGCAGGACTTTCCTGCTACAGCTCCCATAGCTCAGGGGCTGCAGGAGCTTTGGAAACTTGGCCAGAACCCTGTGTCTCTGGCTGGCCAGGGTGCAAAGCCCCAGCCAATTTGCAGGGAGGAGTGTGCGAAAAGCAAGACCTTGTCCTGAGCCCCAACACACCTCACAGGTAATGAGGAAGAACCCAAATCCATGGGGATCCCCTTGGGAATTGTCTTCTGCCCGTAGTGATGTGTTCCTGCACAGGAAATTCTTAGGCTTCTCATCCTGGTACTTGAAAGGATCTTCCATAAGCTGGTGGGTGTGTCGCAAACGAGGACATGTATTGTTGATGGAAACCAAACCTCAACAGGTGCCATTAGGTGGGCGTTTTGCTTTGGAGGTGAATCTCCTGGAAAATTACAGCCCGTGTGCAGTGACTGTGGGCCTGGGGCGGCACAGGAGCAGTATAAAAGGGGAAATTCTCCACGCTCTCTCATCCACTGCTCTCGCTTCCATCTCCTTGAGGACAAGGTGAGTGTGAAGCTCTTTCTCATCCTTCTCCTCCACTGACATTTCTGAGGACATACCTGCCTCTTTGTCTTGTGCTGGGACTTGGAACTTCTTCCTACAGTGAAGGGAAGAGGGCGGAAAGTGTGACATGGACCTGGACTTGTCTATGACATGGACAGGGCTTGGGGCTTGCATTTGGTGTCCCCAGGGCTACAGAGTTCGTGTGGACCTTCCTGGGCTTAGTCAATATAGGCAGGGGTCTTCTCAGAGAAAGGAAAAGTCCAAGCGCCTCTCTGCACAGCCTCCAGCTCTTGTCTATGGAGCAAGCCTTTCATCCTTGCTCGTGGAGTGAGAGTCTGCTCCTAACCCATGTCCCTGCTCTGCTTGCCCCTGCCCTGTCTCCAGGTGAAGCTCTCTCATCCAGACATGTCCTGCTACAGCCCGTGCGTGCCCTGCCAGCCCTGCGGCCCGACCCCGCTGGCCAACAGCTGCAATGAGCCCTGTGTCAGGCAGTGCCAGGACTCCAATGTCTTCATCCAGCCCTCCCCCGTGGTGGTGACCCTGCCCGGCCCCATCCTCAGCTCCTTCCCACAGAACACCGCCGTGGGCTCCTCCACCTCCGCTGCCGTTGGCAGCATCCTCAGCTCCGAGGGAGTGCCCATCAACTCCGGGGGCTTTGGCCTCTCCGGCTTGGGCCTCTCCGGCTTGGGCGGCCGCTACGGTGGCAGTAGGTGCCTCCCCTGCTAAAGCTGCTGGCGACGGCCCTGGGGAAGGGCCCAGGGACACAGAAGATGGCACTCCACTGGCGGTCACAGACTCCTTTCTGACCGTGATGCTCCCTGCTCTGTGACCTCTACTCTGATTGACCTCGCTCCCCTATTTTGCCTCATTAAATCTCTGTAGCAGCCCAGTCCATGCCTTTGTCTTGTCCTTTCCCCTGCAGATGCTCTCCCAAGATGCCCAGGGAGAGAGATGTTGCACAAAGGGTTCTGGGACTGGGTGTTGGATATTATTGCGCAGTTATTGTCAACATGGGTTTGCACTGAGTTTTCTCAGTCATGAATTCTGTGACTCTCTTGTTTCTGAACTTCTCTGCCAATGTGGTGTATAGCAGGACTGAATGACTGAATGACCCAGTCACTACCATCAGCTGGGTGCATACACCTCTTCCTTTTCCTTGGGAAGCTCAGCGTTGTGAAGAAGGCAGTCAGGAGAAGAAAGGATGAATTGTTATTGACAGGGCAGCATCAACACCTTCCCCAGAAAGCACAGGAGAACTTGCCCTTTCGCAGCATTGAGATTTTGAGTTGCAGGGCGGGAGAACACCAGCCAGAAAATCAAACCGTAACAACAGTAAAGGAACATACTGCCACAGCGTCCGTGGGAAACCACTGTCTCTACAGCTGGGCTCCACAGGTCTTGTGGGCTCTGATCCGGTGCAGAGATGTTGTGGCAATCTGCTTTTTCTTTACGCAGAGGATTCAGGAGAGTTCCTGCACACTGCCTGTCTCCTTGGCCAAGTAGCTGAGTCCTTCCTCCTCATTGCCAGCCCTATCCCTGCCAGAGGGCAGAGGCACAAAGGCCATCCTGGCATGATGGGATCACAGCGTACTCAAGTTAGAAAGTACCTCCAGAGGTCATAGGGCCCAACCCCTTGCTCCAAGATCAATCAGACATGAGCATCCAAGCCCTGTTACTGCACTACCTCCCCAGGCAACCTTTTCCACTCCTTGACTCTCTTCCTGGTGAAAACCAGTTGCTGCCGATCGAGTCCAAACCTCTCATCTCTCACAGTGAGCCCGATGTCTCCAGTTCACCAACCACACTCTGCCACAGTGAGCATGATTGAGCCTGGATCTGTGCTCTGGGGGACCTCACCATGGCTACACCTAAGCTGCTCTTAGGTCTCCCACCAAAGCCTTCTCCTCACAATCTGCAAAGCCCACGCCCTCAGCCACTCCTCCTAAACACGTGCTCCAGGTCCTTACCAACTTGGACACCCTCTGCTGAACTCATGCCATTTGGTCAAGGTCTTTCTCCCATTAGATCTTTCTTGTGTTAGAGCAGTGTTTTAGAGCCCAGCTGGTGAGTGCTGAGCAGAGTGGGATGAGTCCTATTGGTATTGGCCATGATGCCGATGACAGTCCTTTTTGTGCAGAAACAGTTTTGATGGTGCTACCAGAAAAACTGGCCCTGCCTTAGGCTGCTGCTTGTCAGGGTGGAAGCATGTGCGGACAGCTAGGGCTGGTTGCGGCCATGCAGGGATCTGGGTGGACATGTGGGATCTTAACCCAGTTCTCTCCTGCAGCAGTTCAGCTGCTCCCCTTTCTCAGCCAAAAGCCTCTGCAGCCTTTGCCTCTGGTCACCGCACTACTGGTGAGAGCTCCTGGACAGACCCTTGAGACACTAGGCCTGCACACGCTGCCTCTTCCTCACATACTCCCGCTCTCCAGAAGCATCCCCAGGAAACGCTGGGCACAGGCAGGGAAGGAGCAGGGCAAGGAGGATGTTCTCTGCCTGTGGGCCGGAGTGACAGTCTATGAGCGGAAGGGGAAAAAAAGAGAAAACTCAAGTGGTGCAAAGGCAACACCGGGCACCTCACACGAGCACAGGATGCGCAGCCATGCTCCAAAGAACGGACACTTTGGAAAGACTGCCCTGAGTCTTTCCATTCACAACAATTGTGTTAACAACCACTACACACTCATCCCAAAAACCCCACCCCAGATTCACACAGAGAAACAACTCTATCCTTGGGCACCTTGGGAGAGCATCTGCAGGGGAAATGATGAGAGAGAGGCATGGGTTGGGATGCAGCAGAACTTTAATGAGTCAAAACAGGGAAACAAGGACACAGTGAGTGGAGCTCCTGGTGCAGGGAGCCCCAAAGGCAGAAAGGAGTCAGCATCCCCAGTGCGATGCCAACTTCTGGGTCCCTGGGCCCTTCCCCAGGGCCATCGCCAGCAGCTTTAGCAGGGGAAGGACCTCCTGCCACAGTAGCGGCCGCCCAAGCCGGAGAGGCCCAAGCCAGAGAGGCCAAAGCCCCCGGAGTTGATGGGCACTCCCTCGGAGCTGAGGATGCTGCCAACGGCAGCGGAGGTGGAGGAGCCCACGGCGGTGTTCTGCGGGAAGGAGGTGAGGATGGGGCCGGGCAGGGTCACCACCACGGGGGAGGGCTGGATGACGACATTGGAGTCCTGGCACTGCCTGACACAGGGCTCATTGCAGCTGTTGGCCAGCGGGGTCGGGCCGCAGGGCTGGCAGGGCACGCACGGGCTGTAGCAGGACATGTCTGGATGAGAGAGCTTCACCTGCAGACAGGGCAGGGGCAAGCAGAGCAGGGACATGGGTTAGGAGCAGCCTGAAGCCCACCACAAAGCAGCCAAGCAATAAGATGGAGTCATGAGCTTGTGGCTGCGTAAGGAGTCCCACTGCCTTCCACTTCCCTTCAGTGCAAAAGAGCCCTGCCAAGACCAACCAAAGCCAGAAGGTCACCACCCAGACCATTGCTCAGCCAAGACCCAGCCTAACTCCATGCCAAAACTACTACCATTTTTCCTGTCCTGTGACAAGCTGCTTCAACTCCAGTGTAGGATGAAGGAGCAGGTTTATGCTGAGAAATCTCAAAGGAGGATGAGGAGAAACAGGAAGACAATGAGAATGAGAAAGAGTTTCATACTCACCTTGTTCTCAAGGAGATGGTGGCGAGAGCAGTGGATGAGAGAGTGAGGAGAAGTTCCCCCTTTTATACTGCTCCTGCACCGCCCCTGGCCCACAGTCACTGCACACGGGAAGTAATTTTCCAGCAGACTCACCTCCAAAGCAAAACACTCACCTAATGGCACAGGACGGGGGCTGTTTTCCATCTGATTTCCTCATTTCTGATGCGTTTCTCTGCCACGCCTGTGCTACTGATGTGCCTGCAGATGGTATTGGTGGGGACCCCAGATATTGTCACAAGAGGGGAAAGCGGCCAAACAAGTGGACACAGGCAGGAGAAGACTGCATTGGCGGCACAGCACGTTCCTCTCCAGAGGGTTGAAAACAGCCTCATCAGATCTCTCCAGACGCATGCTTCTTACCTCCACACACACCTCCACCACTTGGGGTATATCTTCTGCTGCTATTGATGTGCTCCTGACAGGAAATATTTGGGCCTCTCATCTTGATACTTGAAAGGATCTTCTGTGACATAATGGTCATTTCAGAAATGAGGAATTGAAATGGCTGCGTTGATGGAAACCAAACCCCAACCTGTGCCATTAGGGGTATGTTTTGCTTTGGAGGTGAGTCTGCTGGAAAATTAGTGCCTGTGTGCAGTGACTGTGGGCCTGGGGCGGTGCAGGAGCAGTATAAAAGCAGGAACTTCTCCTCACTCTCTCATCCACTGCCCTTGCCTTCATCTCCTTGAAAACAAGGTGAGTCTGAAACCTTTTCTTCTGCCTCCTTTTCCTCTTCCGCTTCTCTCAGCATACGCTTGCCTTTTGTTCTATGCTGGGTCAAGGGCCTGCTACTAATGAGAGAGGGAAGGGAGCAGAAGGTGTATCATGCAGATGGGCTGGGGCTGGCTGAAGTGAGCGATGGCTACACTGGGAGCTCCCTGTACTTCACTGTTCTTGATGGAGCATTTTTTGTCTGAGGGGAAGCTGAATTCCGTGGATCTCCCTACAACATCTCCAGCTCTTGTTTCAACCTTGGCTTGTCTTGGGGTGAGAGACTGCTTCTAACCCATGTCACTGCTCTGCCTGCCCCTGCCCTATCTCCAGGTGAAGCTCTGCCATCCAGATATGTCCTGCTACACCCCTTGCGTGCCCTGCCAGCCCTGCGGCCCGACCCCGCTGGCCAACAGCTGCAATGAGCCCTGTGTCAGGCAGTGCCAGGACTCCAATGTCGTCATCCAGCCCTCCCCGGTGGTGGTGACCCTGCCTGGCCCCATCCTCAGCTCCTTCCCACAGAACACCGCCGTGGGCTCCTCCACCTCCGCTGCCGTTGGCAGCATCCTCAGCTCCGAGGGAGTGCCCATCAACTCCGGGGGCTTTGGCATCTCCGGCTTGGGCCTCTCCGGCTTGGGCGGCCGCTACTGTGGCAGGAGGTCCTTCCCCTGCTAAAGCTGCTGGCGATGGCCCTGGGGAAGGGCCCAGGGACACAGAAGATGGCACCTGCCAACTTGGTGCTCCCTGCACCAAGATCTCCACTCACTGGTTCCTTGTTTCCCTGTTTTGACTCATTAAAGTTCTGCTGCATCCCAACCCATGTCTCTCTCTCATCCTTTTTCATACAGATGCCCTCCCAAAATGCTCAGGGAGAGAACTGATGCTCAGGGATGGTTTTGGGAGGGGATAATTCTGTAGTGATTTGTAATAGCGTAGGGCAGGATTTACTTGTATGGAGTTGGCCCCCTATTGGCCCTCCCACTGGTTCTTTGTAGCTGTACCTGGAATGGTGCTGGTAACGCATAAATGTTTTGGGTTTTGCTGGGCAGAGCCTGTCAGCACCAATGCTGTCTCTCTGACTGCGTCTCCAAAATGATTGTAGGCGGGGGTGGGCAAGAGGTTGGGAGGGGAGAAAGGAAGGACTGATGTGCCAGACTGATCAAAGGCATTTTCCATACCATATGACATCATGGTGAGCAATAAATGGTAAGAGGAAGGAGGAGGTTTGGGCATTGGGTCATTCACAGAATGTTTGAGGCTGGAAAGAACCACCAGAGGTCATCTGGTCCAATCTCCTTCTCTCTAACCAAGCCTCCTAAACCAAGGGAAAGACTTCCTTTGTCCAGACCTTCTCTCTGGTCTTCTGGCTCAGGGATTCCTGCGGGTTCGCTTTGACGTTGAAGACTGAAGAAAAGGCAGCATTCAGTATCTCTGCCTTCTTTGTGTCTTCTGTCATCAGGGTCCCTGCTCCAGTCTGGAGTGTTCCCACATTTTCCTCTTATTATTGATCTGTTTGAAGAAGCCCTTCCTGTTGTTCTTAATATCCCCTGCTAGATAGAATCCCAAATGGGCCTTGGCTTTCCCCATCGCATTTCTGGGTACTCTGACAACATCCAAAGTGGCCTGTCCCTGCTTCCTCCTCCTCTGTATCTTCCGCTTGGGCTTCACGTCCTTATTAAGGTTTTTGCCTTCTGAAGCAATCAGTAATTGCCCTGGCACTGATGCTCCAACTGTGCTATTGAGCTGTCTAGTGGAGAATATGAGGGAATACAGCTCCCTCTCCCCATCTAAAACTGATGTGGCTCATTCTGTTGTGCAGGTTCCCAAGGTCCTTGTTCACTCTTCTGTGAGGTTTTTACAAATACTAATGAACTCTTGGCTTAATGTGGGTTTGTGGAAACTGCTGTCATGCTGGTTTAAGAGGTGGCAACTTCTGGGTGTGGTGACAGAGAAATGTGCCTTGAGGGGACCAGTCCCTGGGTGGCTGTTGCTTGAAAATCAGCTGCTTTTAGCACTGTATTGGCCTTGCTTGTACTTGACCTCTGTTTAATGAGCCACAACATCAGAGGGCCATGATTAAAACAGGGACCTGAATAACCACTGAAGATGTCAAGATTGAGCAGGGACCCAAACTATATAGAATTATAGAATAGTTAGGGATGGAAAGGACCTTAAGATTATTCAGTTCCAAACCCCCCTGCCATGGGCAGGGACACCTCACACTAAACCATACCACCCAAGGCTTTGTCCAACCTGGCCTTGAATACTGCCACGGATGGAGCATTCACAACCTCCCTGGGCAACCAATTCCAGTGCCTCACCACCCTAACAGGAAAGGATTTCTTCCTTATA